CCATTTTATTCAGATTTAATTTAATTTTCTTTGCTGAGTATGATGCAGTTTCACATTCCTTCGAACGGAAATCAAGTACTTCTTGAACCATGGCTCCACATGTGCCTTCAACTTCAAACTTTATGGGGAGCTGTCATCTCAATACCATCATGAACTCGTTATGGACCTATCATTTCTCCATAGATAAATCCGTTTAAAAAAATCTCAGTATAACCGCCATTTTGACATTTCAACCAGTGAGAGTGCTTTCCGCTAATATCCTCGTTATCCTATCAGTGGCGGCACAGAATTAATCTGAACTGATCTCTGTTTTCTGTTGTCTATCTTATTCGATATTCTTAATTCTTATCTAAGGGCCTAGTGATTGATATTAGAAAATTTGCCACTTGATATACGATTCGATAGCTTGTAGCTTCGAAATTTCTTGCTGCCATAACGACGAAACATCCATACCTTGACAAAAGAATTTTCTAATTTATTATTTCTTATACCCTAATGTTTCTCTTTCAAACGTTCTTTCACTTTTGTGTTTCGTCTTCCTCGGCTTTCACTGTAATGAATCTGTTAAAGACACGTAAAATTTCTTACTACAACTTTTCCAATTTTTATTTTTTTATTTTTACTTTTTTTATATTCCTCTTACAAAACGGAAAAAAACGATCTTATTTGATGGAAGAGAAAACTCGGTCAGGTAATATTTTACTGAATAAAATCAATGAAAACCTTGCATGTATATTTGCATCCAACAAGTGGTGGGAAAATGGCTTCACTTAACTAGGATTAAATGCCTACGTTTATTGCACATTTAGAACATGGGAAATGCCAGTTTTTCTGCTCTTTAAATGAAGAGATCTACTCACTTAGGTGTTGGATTCGCCATTTTTTTAATTTACGTATCTGTTGTTTAACCGTATTTATCTTGACAAAAATCTACCCTACCCTGTTTCTCTCTCTCAATCTCTCTATCTCTCTCTCCCTATCTATCTATCTATCTATCTATCTATCTATCTCGCGTGCATGCGCATGCATGGAACTGTAATTTTGTCGCTACTTTGCTGAGTCTTGTTTTGTAAGATATATTTTTGGAGCCTGTAAGATAAATTTGGAAGAGGCGTTTTTTTTTTTCTGGTCAAGGATATAATATCTTTCTCATCAATCGCAGAAGCGATATTTACTCACTTTGTTCAATCAATCAACCTCCTTTTTTGGTCATTTTTTTTTTCTTTGGTCTTGTTTTGTCTTCTTTTACTGCATTGCTTAAAAGGTCAGTTTATTCTAAAGAAAAAACTGAAGGGATTTTTTTTTTAAATCAGAATCAATCTAATGACGCCAAAAGCTGTAATTTGGTATTTCTGTTGCTGGGTTCTAAGGCGAAGCTGAAGGCTATATGAATTAGAGTCGAGGCATATCTTTTTTATTTCCAAAAGTATTCTATTTATCTGAATTACCTTGCAAAGATTTGCAGGCGCACAAGCGTGTATTTGGTTCTGTTTTCTGGTGTGTATATATATATATATATATATATATATATATATATATATATATATATATATTTGCGTCTATATGTGTTTCTCTGTTTCTGATTGTGTATATGCATATATGAAACATTTTTCAGTGTTAACCTGTAGAAAAAGTCAATATGTATAAAGGTAAAAGACAATAGGGAAACTGCATTATTAACCAACGCGTTTCGTCCTATGTGAACTTTTCAAGGCAAAAACGAAATGAATTTATTGAAAACAAACTATTAACAACAAAATGGCCTTCGCTCCAAGAAGAATTTAGAAAACGCTATTGTATTCACATTCCTACATTTCATTTGACAATATGAATACAATAGCGTTTTCTAAATTCTTCTAGTTGCGAAGGATATTATGTTTGTTGTCAATAGTTACTTTGTTTTCAATAAGTTCGTTTCATTTTTGCCTTTAAAAAGTCCACATTGGTCGAAACGTGTCGGCTAATAATACAGTTTTCCTATTGTCTTTTACCTTTGTATGCATATATATTTATGTGTATTGGGTGATTTTCTAAGAGCAGGTTAGATGTGGCACAAGGCCAAAAATATGGAGTAAGCATTGAGGATCGGACACACTATTCAGTCGTACCTGAACTAGCGAGACAATCTTACCGTGTCAAGGTGTCCTATTTGTGTGCATATTTGTGTTGGCATGTGCGTATAAATGTGTGTATGAATGTGTGTAGGAGTGTGTGTTTTTTTTTAGCTTTTTGTGGCTAGGTTTCCATGATGACAGAGTTCAGAAAATGAAACAAACCTATACCTCTAGATACATGCACACAACCCGTACATCCAATTAAAAGCAAAAATAAAAAAAATAATGGCAAAAAGTATAGTCAAAAGTGCTGGGAATTATAAAACATTTGAACAATTTAGACACATTCTGTGTCCGGTAAAGAAAGCACATATTCGAACACAAGAAAAATTAAATACAAAACTTAATCACAGTACCTTGTCTGTCGTCTTTAATGAAATATATATAAAGTTGTAGCCTCTACCTGTTTGTTTGCTTATTATCAAACTCCTCGTTTGACTTTGAAGATAGACCACCATAACCATATATATTCTGGAACTACATTACCCAGGGTACTTGGATAAGTATATTTCCTTTTGATGAAATGTAGTACCACTGATTTTTTTTCCATTTGATTGAAATTAAATTCAAATTTGAGCAATAGAATGACACCTAAGGTACTTGGATAAGTTGAAAGTCACATCGGGAAGATCATTTTGATCAAAGGGCACAATCCCCCATTATTTCTGTCCCTTTGACTTAAATATGAACAAGGGAATGACTCCTATCCAAAATATAGAAGGAGAAAACCAGAAGATGGAGATCACATCGGCAAGATCAAAATGAGACAATATGGACGTCAAGTTGAGCAGGAAATCACCAATCAGTGGGTCGTGCCTTACAATACATATGTGTTGCGACAATTCAACTATTCATTCAATGAAGTATTGCATCAAATACATATCAAAAGCGTCAGTTCAAGCTGTTTAGCACACACACAACTGAAATGTTTTCCCTTTGGTTTAAATTAACAAGGGAATGGCTCCTATCCAAAATATAGAAGGAGAAAGCCAGAAGACGGAGGTCACATCGGTATGATCATTGAGTAATATTGAAATGCATCATTTTCTCCACAAATTATAACAATGATCTAAAATTAAATAGTACAAGTAATCGATCCGTTGGTATATAATCCGGGTATATAATCCGGGTGGATTTTAGTAATATTATTTATTAAAACTGATCCACAGAGAGCTCGATGTATTTATTATAACAGAGCATATGTATTTTTCACAGCAAAAATAAAAATTATCTCAACGTGGGAATAGTTTATTTCAGGCTGGTCTATACTCAGCTATCTTCAGTCCTTAAGTGTCTGTCCCGAAGTATTATTTTAAATTTATTTTCAGCGTCAGCCCTGCTTTGGTAGACGCCTTCTTAATGAGAAGAGGCTTGTGTTAGTGAGTGGTCGAGGGCGTAAGCTATCTTATTCCGGGAAGCGTTCTGGGGTTGGAGTTTATTTATGGCTAGAACCTTTCGTTCTTTTTGGCTAAATATCGGTTCCGACTATATGATGTTTTCTATACAAGCACCAAGAATGCTTTCCTGGGATTCACAGTAAATAGTTTTTATACTACAAGGGTTCAATATTATTTATAATTGAGGGGGGATTTAAAGTTAAACACGTGAAGATTAAGGTAAATTATCTGAATGATAGATTTATAGATTACTGGAACCCAGTGGAATAAATCATGCTGTCCAACATACTTATATGCGTACATATCTTCACACATACATATATGTACATTTGCATATTTATACATATATGCCACTATACACACACATACACCCTCAGATATATACTCGTGCATTCTTATGTAATTTTGAATCTGTTCCTATGTCTTCATTTCGTGATTAGTTCTATCCGTTGATTTAATAGTTTGCATTGATCTTTATATTTTATTATCCTGATTTTTTTCTTCTAAACATAGCTTGCACCTATCCCTAAAACTAATGGGGGTGTTCGCAAAACCTAGAATTTTCCAAGTTATTTGAGGATTCAGACCCTTTTCTTTCAACTCGCCAAATTTTATTGAAAGGGCTCTTTTGTGTTTTAATTTTGGATTGGTGAATGAGTGTCTATGTGTATTGATTCTCTTATATATATATATATATATATATATATATATATATATATATATATGAATGCGTCATTTATTGGACTACGTGTTTTCTTAGGCATTAATGCTCTGTGATGATATTGTTAGTATTTCTTGTATATTTAATGATTGATCACTTTTCAAGGGTTTTTTTTATATTATGTTCACTTCAGTGGTTGACGTAAATAATAAGCGTTTTTAGGTTGTGTATATAATAAATTGCTTCAATAGATTTAACATATTTTTATGTTGTCAATTTTTAAAAAGATTTTAATTATAGTACAAATTCCACATTTGAAATTTGTTAGGAGTCAGTACTAGCGCTTATTTTATAATTAAATACATTGTAATTATTCAATAGATTTACCTAAACTTGACGAGGAAATCGTTCTAAAAACAAGATTTGAACTTTTATTAATTTATTGACTATATATATATAGATAGATAGATAGATAGATATATAGAGAGAGAAAGAAAGAGGGAGAGCGATAAGAACAGACAGATAGAAATAAACAGATAGAAAAAGAGAGAGAAAGTAAGAAAGAGTAAAATAAATTTGTTCAGTTAGAAATAGAAATTTTAGAGTAATGAAAGATTATCAGCTGCACATGCATTCGAAAATCAGATCAAAAGAAATGATCAAACATTACACATTTATTAAAATATTGTCCACGCGCTTACTAGCGGACAGATAGATAGATAGATAGATAGATAGATAGATAGATAGATAGATAGATAGATATGAACAATATACGAGAGTTACACATATTGCCAAATTAAGATAGATATTAACAATATAAGAAAAATTTCAACAAAGATAGAGAAAGAGAGGGATGAATAATATTAGATAGATAGATAAATAGATAGATAGATAGAATTGGATCGTGCAGATAACTTTGCAGCCGGCCCTCACAAATAGATAGATAGATAGATAGATAGATAGATAGATAGATAGAGATAGAATTGGATCGTGCAGATAACTTTGCAGCCCCCTCACAAATAGATAGATAGATAGATAATTATCGATAGATAACTTTGCAGCCTGATATAGATAGATAGATAGATAGATAGATAGATAGATAGATAGAATTGGATCATGCAGATAACTTTTGCAGCCACAGCCCTCACAAATAGATAGATAGATAGATAGATAAATAGATAGATAGATAGATAGATAGATAGATAGAATTGGACCATGCAGATAACTTTGCAGATAGATAGATATGAAAAATAAAAGATAGATTACAACAATATAAGATATATAGATGGATAGAGAGTTAGATACATACATACATACATATAAACGATATAAGATAGATAGATAGATAGATAGATAGATAGATAGATAGATAGATAGATATGAACAATATAAGATCGAAAGAAAATAGATGCATACATACATACATATGAACAATATAAGATAGATAGATAGATATGAATAATATAAGATAGATAGATAGATAGATAGATAGATAGATATGGGCAATACACAACAGTAACACATTAACAGATTATGATAGATATTAACAATATAAAACATATTTAAATAATGATAGATAGATAGATAGATAGATAGATAGATAGATAGTCTTGTAAAGTAAACAGTGCCTAGATTGTATCGCAAACGATCTTGTTCCTATGAGGACATTGAAATGACACAATCATAGGTTGAAAAGATAGGTTACATATTTAACAAGGGGCAGAAACAGTCGGTATTCTAATGACAAAAACCTCTTAGTTTGAAGGTGAAAGTTGAAACGGCCACAATAAATCATTATGTGATAGTCTTTCTCTTCAGTAATTTTTTTTTTTAACTCGTTGGTGTCGAGTTATCGCTCATCGAGAAATATTTCCTCTCCTTCGCCTTTCCAAGGTCCATTATATTTTGACTCACCTTTCTCCATTACGCACAGATTGGTATTTGTCATTACAGGTGTCCTTCGGCGTAAAAAGACGCGTATGTGTTTACTTTTAAATTAATCTTTTATATAAAGGCGTCTCTATTTACGTTTGAGAATAAAAGGATTCTTTATGTGCTAAGCGAATGAGCTGGGTGGAAAGATGCTCCTAAACTTGTCAGCAGGTGAAAGAAAGTATTTTAACTGTAGACTTGCGTTGTCGAGTCCTCAAGCCTGACCTTTGTAACACGAACAACACTTGATCAAATCGTTTTATTCTCATTTCTATGTGCTTCTATTAATCCATTCTTAGGGTAAAAGTCCTCTCGTCCAAAGATCTTTTAATCTGAACATCATCCGAACAAAATGTCGTATTATCATTAACTTTGTTTCTGTCATTTCATTCTGTAGGTAAAAGTTTTATAGTTAAGTATTCTTTAAATCCGTACAATATTTGATCCAAACCTTTTATTCATTTTAATATTTGCATTACTACAATCCATTATCCACGTACAAGTTTGGTCGTTCAGCATATTATTAAATCGAAAAATATTTGATCCAAATGTTTTATCCAAATATTTGATCTTCTATTTGATCTTGTATTTGATCAAATATAGTGATCAATTTTTTTTAACTAACTTTTATCATTTCCTTGTGGTTTTATCAATCTTACAACTCTTGCAATCACTCATTTTTAATCCAGCCATGAGATGAAGCAACAGGTTTATTTATTTTTACAATGTGTTTGTCTTTTGTTTTACTTTCACACCAAGTAAGGCGATAATGTGACTAAGACGCAAGGGGGTTACAGGTAGTGAAAATGACGGAAAAAAAATTTAGTGAGGAGAAAGGACAATAAAAGAACGGATTTCAAGAAGTTATTAGATGGCGATTGACGTTACATTTACTTTTTAAGACTGTAGATGGGAGGAAAATAAGAAATTCGAAGAGAGTTCAAGAAACGCGAAGAACGAAAAACAAAACTGTTAGAATAGAAGTGACCGTTGTATCTAGTTAATTCAACGGTAAAGCGATGAGGTTTATTCGCCAATCTAGTGGTACGTTTAAATTCATGCGGCTAAGGTACCAAGAAGCCAAGATCAATACAATAATTGCCATGAAGATATTTATAGAAAGAGGGACGGAATCCACGTCATAGCAGTGATTAAAGCCAAGATTCCAGATCAGGGGCGGATATATTAAACTTCTTTAGATTTTATTGAGAATCTCGAGATACGACGGTGAATTGAAAAGTTCATGGGCTAACTATGTGTTATGGTCCGGTTCCTTGTACCACGGTGATAGTCCAAGGTAGAACCAATAAAGAAGAACTCGAACACAGTTATGGAATAACACAGATATATTACAAACAGGAATATATACAGAGAAGTAGAAGTATTAGTATGAACAATCAGGTTTAGTAGAGAGAACAATGTAGTCTCGACCAGTATCACTATTCCAATATCTTGCAGTAATTGTCTGAACGCGACTCTGTTTCGGACTGCCTCTGACTCGACTGACTGACTCGACTTAAACTACTGACTCCGACCTACTGATTTACTCCTTGCCTACTCCTGAGGCGCAGTATTTATTAAGTATGGAATAGTCCATTATTATTATTATGGGTAAAATCCCATAACACTATGAAAGCTTGACACTCAAGCTATGGAATCAAGCATGCTTTAATTTCAACTCTTAATAACTACATTGTTTCATTCCCGGTACGAGGATGAACTGAAAGGTTCATAAGGCTGCCAATGAAGGTGTGATGCTACAGCTGTAGCCTTAATTTCAACTCTTATTAATAACTGCATCGTTTCATTCTATGTACGAAGTTGGACTGAAAAATTCATAGTCTCACAATGAATTAGTAAGACTAGAGCTCTTAAATCATGCATACTTTAATTTCAACTCTTCTTATTAATAACTGCAGTATTTCTTTCCAGGTACGAGGATGGGCTGAAAGGTCCATCGGCTGACTATGAATGAGTGAAACGAGAGCTCTGAAATCACGTATACTTTAATTTCAACTTTCTTATTAATAACTGCATTGCTTATTTCCAGAAACAAGGATAGGTTGAAAGATTCATAGGCTGACTATGAATGCGTAATGCTAGAGTTCTGAAATAATGCAGACTTTATTTTCAAATCTTCTTATTAATAACTGCAGTATTTCTTTCCAGATACGAGGACGGGCTGAAATGTCCATCGGCTGACTAAGAATGCATGATGCTAGAGTTCTGAAATCACGTATACTTTAATTTCCACTCTTCTTATTAATAACTGCATTGCTTATTTCCAGGTACGAGAATAGGCTGAAAGATTCATAGGCTGACTATGAATGCGTGATGCTAGAGTTCTGAAATAATGCAGAATTTAATTTCAACTCTTCTTATTAAAAATTGCATTGTTTATTTACAGATAAACTGACATCTGACTGTTAAAAGATCAATGTTCCTCCTGTGGATCAAAAAAGTTATGAACAGCAGATATGACATCATCATCACTGCGATACTGGTGCACAGCCATGCGTTTTTTTTTATGTTGGTGAACAGATGATAATCAAATCAGGCGAAAGTTCAAAGCCACATTCACGCACAGTGGTCATTGAAAACAAGGATTTGTGTTCTGGAGCATTTTGCTAATGAAACAAGTTTTCTTTTTATTTATTTCTTAATGCTTTGCTTAGCTTTTAGAAGGCATCTTTCACTATCCCAATGAGACGTCGGATTTCAGTGTGGCGCACACCGTCTTCAATTTAAACACTTCCCAAATATTTAAATTGCTGTACTTTTTTGATTTTGTTAACCCCAATTTGTAATTTGTATATTGGGCTGTTCCTTTTGCTAGCAACCGTGTATTCTGTCTTCTTACAACTGACGTTTTCTCCTTTGTTCTCACTCTTCTTTACTATCCTCCGTAGGAATTACTTTCATTTCCTTCCTGTGACTGCTATCAACACTGTGTCAACTGTATATTTTATGTTATTAATATTGCAGATGTCAGTCCTGAATCCTGTTAGAAATTCTAATTCTCTTAGTATCGCCTCACTGAATAGTGAAACATTACAGTCTTAACTTATCAGTCTGTCACTTAAGTGCCATACGGACGATCATGTATATTTCGATACATGACTGACGAGGCAGATTTTTTTCTCCAGCAGTAGGTTACCATTTCTTTCTGTGATAGACTTGTTGCCAACCAAAGCTAAAGAGTTCAGTCTGTCCTGCTATTCAATCCATGGAGGTGGGGAGAAAAGATAGATTAATACTTTTCCCGAAGGTATTTATCCGTAAGTGAAGCTAACGAATTAGACTTGAATTCGAACTCAGCTCTACGATTTTTCACTCTTAGCCAATATCCATTACTCCAGAAAGCATAACATATATCATCTAAACATATATCATCCCCATTTTTATACCAATGTATAGAGCATCAAATCTCTGTTACAAAAATTTGAAAATTTTCAAACTGATGTCTTTGAATGTTTCTACGAGAACGATCTCGATCAAGAGCCGGCTTAGACAGCTGTACAGGGAATCTTGACAACAAATATTGTATCACTTAAAAGGTTATGTTTAGTAAACACTGAGTTGGCGTTACGTTTATTTATTAAACGGTATATTTATTTATTTTCGTCTACCGGCTGGAATGTTCCATAAATTTTATTACATAAAAATTTGCACTCTCCGTCAGGATTTGAATCTGCGTCCTCTACCTTGAGGGACCAGGCCGGAGAGTAAAAAGACCAAGAAATTGGCCGATGAAACCTAGAAGCAGTCTATCTTAATTTTCTTTTACATCAGGGGGGGTTTTGTAAGTCTCTTATGAATATGTGGTATTGTGGTACATGTAGGATTGGGAGGTGATGGATGAGTTCTTGTGGTGATTGACTATGTTATGTTGAATGAATGGAGGACTAGGATAATCAATGAAAGATCAGCCTTTTCCCACTTGTACCAAAATTCTGTAATTTTTATAGAATAAATACCGATTCCTATTTAGGTTGTGAAAGTTTGATTATTTTTTTTTTCTTTCAAGTCCCCTTAAACACAATGGGGTGGATTCCTGTGGACCCTCCTCTGGTTAAGTTAGACTGTTTCTTGTTTTCCCAGATAATGTGAATAAGTGTTGTTCCCGGATTGTTACCAGCTTTCTCTTTTGTTATAATCCATGTCGAGATTCCCAACCTCCCCAATTTGTTTTTGTCCCCTTTTTCATCTCGGCTGGGTCAGGCATTTTTTCCCACTCCAACATTTAATTTTTCCTTCCCACTCCTTTAGTGAGTGCGCTTCTTGATTCTGTTGATCGGCAGAATACAACGGTCGCTCATTATTTTGTGGGGTGGACGGGTTTTACGAAATTCTATATTGTTTTAGTTTGTTTTTTGTTGTACTCTTTAGTTTCGTTTGTGGGTTTATCCCGTCCTCATCATTTTCATTATTATATGAATTTTTATTTATTTTTGTCCACCCCCACCGGAAATGGAGACTTTGAAACATTTATAGATTTTTATGTCATGGGGTGTTTTGTTTATAGATTTTTTTTGTCATCGTGTGTTTTGTTTATAGATTTTTATGTCATCGGGTGTCTTGTTTATAGATTTTTATGTCATTGGGTGTCTTGTTTATAGATTTTTATGTCATCGGGTGCCTTGTTTATAGATTTTTATGTCATCGGGTGCCTTGTTTATAGATTTTTGTCATCAGGTGTTTTGTTTATAGATTTTTTGTGTCATGGGGTGTCTTGTTTATAGATTTTTATGTCATTGGGTGTCTTTTTTATAGATTTTTATGTCATCGGGTGTCTTGTTTATAGATTTTTATGTCATTGGGTGTCTTGTTTATAGATTTTTTGTGTCATGGGGTGTCTTGTTTATAGATTTTTATGTCATCGGTGTTTTGTTTATAGATTTTTATGTCATGGGGTGTTTTGTTTATAGATTTTTATGTCATCGGGTGCTTTGTTTATAGATTTTTATGTCATCGGGTGTTTTGTTTATAGATTTTTATGTCATCGGGTGTCTTGTTTATAGATTTTTATGTCATCGGGTGTTTTGTAGGTCCCCTGTAAATATGTGGTACTGTGGTATATGCAGGATTCTGAGGTGATAGACAAGTTCTTGTGGTGATTGTGTACATTGTAATGGATGAATTAGTCGTTATTGTGATTAACTAGAACTAGATTAGTCAGTGTTGTCCAACCTTTTCCCCACTTCTCCTTTCGGCCTTGTGCCACAATTTTGTACTATGTCCAGAATAGATATACATTCCGACGTAGAGT